ACATTTACTGATTTGATTCTTACAAAATGGTACCTTAATATCTTTATTCTAATATTCACTAAAAGACCTAAAATAAAGCAACATTTGCTTGAGACACAGTGATTTCTTGCATAAATCAAAGCTTTTACAGGAAAGATAGGTCTGACTAGTTAATTTCACACCTACCATGGAATCCACAAAAGTAACTGGCAGACATGAGAACCAAATTCACAATCTTCTTCTAATTAACACTATTTTAACTCCAAATTACCCAATCATATTTCCCAGTAGAACAAGAACTTCACAGTACTATGGTTTCAACAAATATTCATGAATTGTTCGGTATGGCAAAGATACATAAAATGAAGCAGAATGGATAGACAGTAGCTTCTGTCATAGTCCAATGATGAAAATACCAAAAATGACTTAAGAAGACTAAGTAGTTTAAGTAATAAGCACCATATGGAATAAAAGGGTCACTGAAAGCCTCTTAAACTGAGTAAAGTGGTGCTATGATGGTTATTTATCTGATATTTTAGTGATGGCTTTCTTTATTAGCAAAGCCAAGAGAATAGAACATAAAACTATTTTAGAAAGCTAAAAACAATCATTTCAATTTCTTTAGCTTCTACTGTCCTCTACATATCACAAACAGAAGCCTTAACAAAGCGAAACAAGAAATTATGTTGTTAAACATAAAGTTCTACTTAGGAGTTAATTTCTCTACATTTGGACACATAATGTACATTAGTAAATTATTAAGTACAGTTTTCCTTTTTGTTTCCTAACAGCCAAAAAAATGCAAAATTAGGGCTTGGAATCCAATTTACATTTTGAAGCAAAGACTCATGTCTTCTTCAAAACACACAGGTACAGGTTTAAAGGTAGCCCCAAGGAGTAGAAATATCCTTACATTAATCAGGAGGGAGAAATTTAAAGATTAAAATATTTGAATTAAACTTGGAGAGGCTGAGAAGACTTCTTTGATATGTAACTCTGGAGATTAAGAATTACTGCTATAATAAATAGGTACCAAAATGATATATGGAAGAAAGTGTAATTAAATATAATAATATAGGATTAAAAAATGTATGGGCATCTATTAAAAGACTTAGAAATTTAACAGAAGGAAAGAACAGTATCCAATATAGGCTGCAGACATCTTAGGAGAAATCAAAAGGGGCATGTTGTTTGAGGAAAAGCAAATGGAAAACTCAGAAGAATAGGGACTGGATACTTAGGAAACATTTCAAGAGAGTCATAGTGAGATTAGAGCAATAATAAACCCTTTTATTAAAGCCCTGGAAAGGGTGAGGCTGCTGCTAGAATGTGGTTTTGATCAATGTAAGGAGAGTATTGTTTATAAAAAATTCTGGGGTTTATCTAAGAAATACTAAACAATTCAAGGATTTGGACTAAAAGCGTATCAGCCAACCTGGGTTGAAACGGGAGATCAAGAAGGGTCTCACCAAAGCAGTAAGGCGAATAAAGCTATACTGATTACTAAACTATGATATTATCCTTGAAATTTACCACAATTTTATAGAGCATTCACACCCTGTAGTACTTCCAAACTTTAGAAAAACGTTTTATGACTTTAAAATACAATGGGACACAGTAAAAATATTTTGGACTTGTGGGCCAATGTCATGGAATCCAGTTCTGGTTCTACTACCCACTGAGTTGTATGACGTAAGGTGTGGGGGGACCCTAAAACCTTCTAAAATTTTGTTTCCTCCTATATAAAATACCCCAGTAATGTTCCAAAACTGTTCAGTGTCAAAGATTGCAATTATTAAAGGACAGCTGAGCATAGATGCTGAAGAGATATCCTCTGATCCCTGAAGAGTACATGTGCATCTTTTGGGTCCCTGGGGTAGAAATCTTCTTTGATACGAGGTGCAGCTTAGAAGGGATGTACTCAATGCGGCAAGGAAAGAAAGATCCAGTCACTTCAGCTGAGGCTCTAGTGAGCACCAAGGTAACACTCAGATTATGCTCTGTTCTCTCTCTAACTCCTGTTACAGATGACTGTATAGCACAAAGACAGAGGACAGCGGCAGGGAAAGTGTCAGACTACAAAGGGAAGTGTAAGTCCTATAGCAAATATTACTATGAATTAATTCAAACTGTTTGAAATTATGGGGACAGCTTCAGGATATAACAAGGATACTGCTTTAAGTGTAAAGAATAGATTCAATTAATCCCAAATAGTTGTGCGGTATTCTATAGCAGAGACAGACTAAAGAGTTATGACTTGATCCCAGGCTAGTAGCAGCTCTATATTCCACTACACAGCCCTAAGCACAGAAAGATACTGGCTGCCCACTACCACAGCTATCACTGCATCTGTGAGCACATGGAGCTCAGTTCTCTTTCAGTTTCAAAATGTATCCTTTGGGCATCAGAGATGATAAATTCAAAGCAGACCTGACCTGGGAAACATTCAAATAAAAAACTAAGTTTAAAGTTCTTTCTGGGAATTGTAAAGTGTTATACCATGGACAATTAGAGGATCAATGTCAAATGTATAAAATCCATCATCTAAACCTAAATGACAAACTTAATCTCCCATCTATTTGAACAAAATCAGCCTACTACAATTAAGATTAATTTTGCATGCAAAAGATGGCAAAGAACATCACATAATGATTTTCTAAGCCTTGAAATAAAAACCTTAATGAATCAATTTAAAGACCGGCACCTCAGTTATAGGAATAGAAGCTGCAGCCTGTTTTGTCATCAGGGACCTCCTAACACCCTTACTTTCTACTACGTTTTTGTTTTTTTTTTTTTTAGATGGATTCTCACTCTATCACCCAGGCTGGAGTGTAGTAACACAATCTCGGCTCACTGCAACCTCCACCTCCCAGGTTCAAGAGATTCTCCTGCCTCAGCCTCCCAAGTAGCTGGGATTAAAGGCGCATGCCACCACGCCCAGGTAATTTTGTGTTTTTTTTTTTTTTTTTTTTTGTAGAGATGGGGTGTCACCATGTTGGTCAGGCTGGTCTCAAACTCCAAACCTCAGTGATCCACCCACCTCAGCCTCCCAAAGTGCTGGGATTACAGGTGTGATCCATGGTGCCTGGTCTACTACAGTTTTTATAAACAAAAAAACTTCTAGTCCAAATATTTTACCCCGCAAATAATGGCGATGGGATCAGACTGATATATATTAAATGGTTATTAAAAAACAAGGAAGAGATCTGATATTCGTAAGTACTGAAAAGGTAAATTTTAAAAATCATCTTATCTAATCAGATCCACTTTCTTATAATTTGAGTGATAATCTGGAATGTTGAGAAATTAATTTGGATGAGGGCTAAATTATAACATCATCTTTCTAATTTTAGTATTTGCCAGAATCTGTTTAATGTTTGAAATGAGCTTTACCACAAATTATTCCTCTACTTCACTTACTTTTTCATTGATTGATACTATTCTGGTCTATATTGTAAAAATTCCTCAAATGAATCATAAAACCTATAGAAAAAGGTTTGCGTGTTAGTTAAGTAGGATTAATTTGAAAGTCTTTTAATTTAAATACTTATTAAAATGTTCTTAAAGGTGTAAGTACACTAGCATTCTAGTTCTTATGCTAGGCATTCAAATGCTTTATATATATTATTACAACAATGACAATTATTACAACAATGACAATAATTATCACAACAATGACATAAAGTAGAAATTATTATCTTTATTTCACAGATGAGAAAACTGAAGCATAAAGAGGTCACATAACTTGCTGAGATCACATAACAGCTAGTGATCTGGAGCCAGTTTTGAGTTTACTAAATACCTTATATCAACTTATTTTTGTGTGTGTGATTAGTCTTTCTATCCAAAACCATAGAGCACTTTGGATTCCTCTTAACCAGTGTTTTCTAGACAGTTTCTTTACTTCATTTAAGTCTCAATAATCCAAACTGACCTACAGTGATAACTTTCAGCTTAAATTCTTACATCTTTTAGAGCAACACAGATAGAACTTATTGAACTATATAATTTTGTTATTAAAATATGATCTCGGCTGGGCATGGTGGCTCACACCAGTAATCCCAGCACTTTGGGAGGCCAAGCTAGGTGGATCACAAGGTAAAGAGATCAAGACGATCCTGGCCAACATGGTGAAATCCCATCTCTACTAAAAAATACAAACTTACTGGGTGTGGTGGCGCATATCTGTAGTTCCAGCTACTCGGGAGGCTGAGGCAGGAGAATCGCTTGAACCCAGGAGGCAGAGGTTATAGTGACATGAGATTGTGCCACTGTACTCCAGCCTGGTGGCAGAGCGAGACTCCATCTCAAGAAAAAAAAAAAAAAAAAAAAAAACTCCTAGGCATAAAATTAGGATTTAGGAAAGGTGCAATCAGTCACTAAAGTTATTTCTTTAACCCTAAGGAATAAAAGAAATTCATAAACTACTAACATCAGTTATTAGCTATTAGAATATTGCTTATTAGTTATTAGTTATTAGCTATTAGAATATTGCTTATTCTAATGCACTAAACCACAGCTCAAGATGCTGATCAAAAGACTTTACAGATGACAATGGAATGCTAAGTTTTACATGAACATTATAAGAATCTGTAGTCAGGATAAAAATCAGCTCTACAACATGGTAGGAAATTTTATATGCAGTGCATATACAACTGATGTTTGAAAATTTTAATGTACTTGACATTTCAAATAAGGTAATTTCGAAGAGGAAAAAGAAAATGACTTGGTTGAGCAGAAAGGCCAAGCTGTGGATTAATGATGAAGGCTGATATGCACATACTGATACCTTGGGAGGTTGGGAAAGACACCTACTCCTTTTTTATATCTGTTTATGGGCAATGAGAGTGGGCTCTTTTGTGTTAATTTTAAGTGACTTTCACCTGCATCATAGGTAGGAAAAATATTGCTCAAATTAACACACAAATCACAGTTCCAATCTAATGCTTTGGTATTTCTTCATATTCAAATTCCATATATCTAATTAAAAAAAAAAAAACCTCAGAAATCAGCAAATTTACCTGGAATGTAGCTCTGTGCTGCCATTATTATATTTGCTTCCTCTTTCCCAGACACCAAAGTCAGGCACACGGTAAACTCTTTCCACGCAAAATACAAGGTTTTGAATAAAAGAGACCTAAAATAAAAGAAATGAAACATAAGGACATACTCAGTAACAGGACATTTAGATACTAAAGAGAATAATTAGATACCGTTTGAAATCCAAATACATACTTGCCTCCCAACACATTTTTTAATATATTGAAATTTGTGTGAATATTACTATGAATACTATTATACTTATTTTTTTCTAATATAAAACTTACTTAAGGTGAGAGCCTAATATTATACAGTATAGAAATAAAATTTAAATCCTCTCAATGCTCCAATTATCATTCTTCAGCAATGTGTCTATTATTGTTTATAAGGATTATACATCTTAAGCACTAAGAAAAGTATAAAGCATGCTTCTTATACTAGAAATAATACATGTAATCGGAAACATCCACATGAAATGTTAAATAGGTCTAAAACTTTTTTTAAAAGATATCTCTGTTCTGTAAAGTGCCAGTTCCCTGTTGGGTCAACCTTAAGTGCTAAAATCCAGTCTTCCTTCTGCCTTGTATAGCAGTAGGTATATTGCTGCAAACTCAAAGCTCACAGTTGGAAGTGAATTAAAACGAAAGGTCCAGGAATCAGAGCTTCCATGCAAAGATTTCAGATGTGACAAAATGTATACTTTCAAAAGTCTATAGAAGGCAAAGACTATGGTGAATTCTTATTTAATACAAGGTTCCTTTATTTTAATAAGGTCAATTTCTTATGTGGGCTACAGGTTCTGATCACAGGGTTTTAAATGTAGTCATCATGTTAGGTTCAATATGGCAAACTGAATACATGCATCTGCCTACCCTTCAACATAAAATCCTTCTGAGGTGGCAATACACATGTCTCACCTTCACCCTACACACACATAATTAATATAATGTATATACTTTAAAGAATGAAACAACAACACAGAAAGCCAAGGTGAGATTCTGCCAGTAGACCAGAAATTTTCAAAAACTACAGGAAGAGAGAAAGCACATGGGAGGGAACTGGTGGAGAATCAAAGCATAGGAAACCACAGCTTCTCAAAATGGTGCTTCCTTGTTTTCTAGGGCCTCCAAGAAATCTTTAAGCTCAGAGTCAACAAACACAGTGATAAAAAGTTGACCAGGGATGAGCCTACCCAGGTTATCTCATGAATGATGAATGACTGGGGCACCTGCATCCAGGATATTTACAATCTCCTCCCCTAAAGAGACATTTGCCCTCAGGGCAGAGAACACCTCCCTCATAGGAAAGAGCAACCAGGTGTTGAGGTCTCATTGAAATAAAAGAGAATGTGTTATTTCTAGATTTCTCCAAAACATGCACCTATTCTAGGACCTCTTCATTCAAGAGTAGAACAGTACATCCCACAGTAAACTTGTTTTTATTTTGAATATTGGTCAGGGTCCCCTCAGTTTACCTGACTTGGGCTGCCTTGCCTATACACCTTAAGGGAAACCTTCCTGTGTAAAAAACCTGCTCACTTTCATGATATTAGCTATTCCATAGTCTTAAAAGTTAATTAGATTTTATAATACATACAGAAAATACTTTATAGTTTGTCAGGTCTCCAGGTTTAAAGCTTTGTGGCTGGATGCCTATAATCCTAGCACTTTGGGAGGCTGAGACAGGCAGTTCACTTGAGTCCAGTTCAAGACTAGCCTAGGCAACATAGCAAGGCCCTGTGTATACAAAAAAATTTAAAAATTAGCAGGGCATGGTGGCATATGTCTGTGGTCCCAGCTGTTTGATAGGCTGAGATGGGATGGATGATTCCTTGAGGCTGGGAGGCTGAGGACAGTGAGCTGTGATCGTGCTACTGCACTCCAGCCTGGGTGACAGAGCAAGGCCCCGTGTCAATTAAAAAAAAAAAAAGAGAGAGAGAGAGATTTTTCCATGTATGTTTACAATGCTTGCTTATAATTCAGTGATGTTTCCATTCTAATCCTGAATATCTATAACCTGTAGCTTTTACAATCAATTATGAAGTATTTCCACTTGAATTTACCATTTAACAACATGTTCTAAACCCTTCCACCTGGAAGCACTTTTCAAGTCTGGTTTTTTTTGTTTTTGTTTTTGTTTTTCCCATTAGATCACTCATTTTGCAGGCTCTCAGTTTAGAAATCTTGAACTCAACTTTCATTACTGTTCAATAAAATTTGTAAGAGGATATTGATTTGGACTGAGCTCCTGCAGTAGGCCCAAGAGATCAGACCAAACCAGAATGGAGTCACCTATACTAGGTGCCACATAGTCAAGTGAAATGTTGAAAGGGGCCAGTTTTCTCAAACAAAACAAAACAAACAAAAAATAAAAACAGAAGATTCACAGCAACCAATCAGAAGGGGCCCAGTTTTCTGAGTTGGCATGATAAGGAAGTCCTCTCTGTTTTAACCCTGTAAGGAAAGTAACTTTGAAACAACCAATTAGCTTTTTGTTCCCTTTCTGCTTTCTTCAACCCTTTTCTGCCTTTGAAGTCAACCTCTTGAGCATAACTTTTTGGAGAGCCTTTTGCTAGACCTTTGGAAGAAACACTACCAATTCATGAGTCACTTGTATTTTATTGACTTTTATTAAGTCAATTCGCTTTTGAATTGTTGCAATTGTGTCTTTCGATACCATGTTTCCTTTTAGCCCCACATTCATTCTCCAAAGTCTGCTATTTTTCACATTGCTTCTTTGATCAAAAAGGTTTCTTGAGGCCGGGCGTGGTGGCTCAAGCCTGTAATCCCAGCACTTTGGGAGGCCGAGGCAGGTGGATCACGAGGTCGAGAGATCGAGACCATCCTGGTCAACATAGTGAAACCCTGTCTCTACTAAAAATACAAAAAACTAGCTGGGCGTGGTGGCACGTGCCTGTAATCCCAGCTACTTAAGAGGCTGAGGCAGGAGAATTGCCTGAGCCCAGGAGGCGGAGGCTGCAGTGAGCCGAGATTGCGCCATTGCACTCCAGCCTGGGTAACAAGAGTGAAACTCCGTCTCAAAAAAAAAAAAAAAAAAAAAGAGGTTTCTTGAATTCTGACACAGTATTACAATTCTCATGTTTGACATTCAAACCCTCTACAATCTTCCCACCCTGTCCCCACAGGCCTCTATTTACTACAAAATCCTCTCACAGGGACCTGGGTTCTAACTGGGCAGGTTGGCTATTAGTCTTGCTCATTTCCAAATGAAACACTTTTCTATGAATCTTCCTTCAGCCCTTATTAAAAACGTTTCTTGGCGTAGTCTCTAATTTCTCCTCTCACTGTACTTAGAGCCAAGACCACAGACCTTAATTTTTGTTTGATGTGGTTTTTTTTCTTACCTCTAATTGTACACAGGTATACCATCTTTTATTTGCAATTCTTAAATGCCACACATTCTGAAATCCAATTGATTTTTAACTCATTTGTCAGCAAAACCCAGAACTGAGATGAGATTAGCTGCCTTATGTTTCTTGCTTTGTGTGAATATGTATATGACTTACTGTAAAAATATTAATGTGCAGCTTCTGCCCTAAGCCATGCTGGGGTTATTATATAATAAAAGGTATCAAAACAGTATTATCTTTTTTTAATCCAGCAAGTTTTGAAATCTAAAACATATTTGTTTCCAATTGTTTCTTCACATAAGAAACTGTGGACCTATATAACTTCTCTGAACTCAGAAATGTAAATTTCTTATAGTTCCCACATAAATAATACTATGATTTAGTAAGAACTGGGCTCTTGAGGAAGTATAACATTGCTAGAATATAAAAATAAAGATCACAACCATTTCCAAGGTCAGGGTATTTTGTGTATTAATTTCAATCCTGACTCTAGTTTATGTACTCCATGTTGTTAGTCCACTGTACCATCTTCATACCAATGTCTGCTACCTTGCTTTGAAAGCATGTACCTTTGATACACATTTCTGCAAAAAGTGTGTAGAGAAATATTTCTAATTTGAAGAGCTAGAACAGTCAAATCTAAATGTCGTCTGTAATATTTTCAGGATAAGAGTATCATCAAAGCAATAACACAAATATCTGAAATACTTTCAAAATAGTGTTAAATACAAATACAATAACAGTTGAGATTGAATTAGAGTTATACTGTAGGAAAAATCAAAATCTTAATGGACTTTATAAAATTTAAGGTATATGTGCTAAGAGACAAGTTAGGGATTGAGAGGGACTTATATCGTATAAACTACAGCTTTAGTTAGCTAACCAAAACTCCAAAAGCAAACAGTTATTTAACTCTCTCTCCATATATGACTAAAAACAATCAGTATAATAAATTAGTATTAACCAAACGTTACAGTAACTCCTCAATTCTGAGGGTTGGGCTTTAAAACATCTATGGTAATACAATTTGTTAACAAGAAATTTATTACGGAGAAATTAGATAAGGAGATACTGAGTTTATAAACAACCACTGAATGTTCACTAAAATAAAACAATTCAGACCAAACACAAATACTAAGTTTAAAGGGAGTTTTTGTTATACATGTTAAATTAGTAATAATGGGTGGTATACAAATGATTTCCATTTACTATTCCTTTATCACTAGAAACATTTCAGGATCTCTCTCCCTGAGTTTCAAAAAGATATTTGTCAGTTAATTTGTCTTAATGAAGCTAAGTGCTGATTAAAAGGTTTTCTCCCCTGTGTCTTGCATTCAGTCAAATGCTTAAAAGTGTTTATGATTTCACATACTCTTTAGTGTAACTGAGCCCTACCTGCCATCAGTAACTGCCCAGGAACAAAAAAGCTTTGCAAAACCTTAATTTACTTCAAAAATTCCCTCCCTAATACCCATTTTAGTCCTCCTTGCAGTTCTCTGTCATCTCTCCTTAGCTGATTTCTTCTTCACTCGTTCCTCATTTCTTTACAACCTCAATAATTTTTACGTCATTTTGTCACATCCCTCAATTTCAGTTTGTCTCATACTTGCCCATGACTGGATAGAGGTTATGCATTTTTGGTAAGAATATCATAGAAATAAAGTTGTGACTTTCTTAAAGCATCATAGCACAGGATTTATGATGTCAGTGTATCTTCTTACTAGTGT